ATCAGGGGTCCTACAAAATTATAAGATAGCAAACCATTCCTAGTTTATTTTAAGGTGTTATTGTAGTAGTAGTTGTAAGGTTTGATAAATAAACATTGTTATTATTATTCATAATATATGCTTGTTGTTTACAGTTAACATTTAGTTTCGCTCAAAAATTGTGTATTTAGTCACTTGAAACAGTAAATTCTCATAATAAAATGAAAACTCATTTTCTTTATATTTTATAAAGTGACAAATATGATAATACATATCACTTACGAGTATTTCATTCGACAGACTGAGCTCAACGACCTCGCGAAAAGAAAGCAACGCCAACGTTTATGAGTAAAAACTGGGAATATGTTTCTCAATCGGGCTAAAACCACAAGAATAAAGGGGGTACAGAGGCAAAGATTGATGCAGTACTCGTGTAAAACTGAGCACTGGTGACCTGTCCCATACGAAGAGAATCGTTTTTATTGGACGGCAAACATGACGCACGGTTTAAATCTAAAGAAAATGTTACTAGAAAAAAAAAAAATCCACGCGGACCAGACAGCAGACGGGGCTCGAACCCGCACCCTTCACTATCCGGGCAAGTGCACTGACCATTATGCTAGCGCGGCCCTGATTACCGTGTAGAATTCTTTCTGGCCTTTATAAAGCTTCAAAGCAGCGCCATCTCTTCGCATTTTAAAAAATGTGGTTACTTGTAAGTAACCACCAACAACCATTTTAAATAATTTAAAAAAAAATAACGCATGATGTCTCCCAATCCTGGGACCCGCAGGTTGTTTTACCTACGAAAAACGACCGACTATTAAGCATAGACTTAGACCTAGATATAGATCAGAAAAGCCCAGGATCGTACTGGACGGCGTACAGTTGGTCGCTGAGCGGGCGCAGGGGAGGGGGGGTTGTCCCTCGAGTGAATGCCTCTTCTACGACTGCGCGGATGCTCAGAGATCTCCAAGCTTTTCGTAGCAGTGCAGCACACTGCTTTCTGCCAGTTGAATGTAGCATGTCGGATCATGTGGCTTCTAGTACATGATGTGATATCTATATACATAAAACTCAAAGGTGACTGACTGACATAGTGATCTATCAACGCACAGCCCAAACCACTGGACGGATCGGGCTGAAATTTGGCATGCAGGTAGATGTTATGACGTAGGCATCCGCTAAAAAAGGATTTTGATCAATTCTACCCCCAAGGGGATAAAATAGGGAATGAAAGTTTGTATGAAACTTTGTCAATTTTAAACCGATCGGGCTGAGACTTTGCATGCCGGTATGAGAAAAATCATAGATGAATGTCATTGTATATAATACAAGCCTGAGAACAAAAACTGTAGTCCACACTTCAGCTCTACACCGAAGCGAAGCGAGGGCGGGCCGCTAGTGCACAATAAATTTATTCTCCCCGTTATCGAAAAAATAGACTGCCAGTGCTCACATGCACATGCATGGACCTTTGCTTCTGTGTCTTCTTTTATCTTTTGCTAAAGCTGCGGGATCCCTGTAGCGGAGGGCCGGGAGACGGGTGTTGTTTGTCGCTTGCCAAATGTGGCAGTTGCAGGCGACACGCAACTCGTTGCCGCCAATGGGAAATTTTTACACCGCCCGCGGATTTAAGGAGTGGGGTGCACAATGAGTGCATGGATCAGTAGATATTCAATAATAAAAATAAAAACATGGATTGCGGTAACTGATGCTGACGTTTTCCGGTTCGTTTTCCAAATATATTAGATAGAGAAAAAAAAAACATGATAATGTTTTTTTTCAAGCCTCCAATATACCCAATGCTGGGGTACAGGCGCTTCCCATGGACGAAATAGGGAGATTGGATCATACATGCCACCACGCAGTCCCAGTCAGTTCTAATGACTGCAAGTGTCACTGTTGAGCGTGCCTTCTGAGCACGGAGGAGCTAGAGATAATTAATTATTGTTGACCCATCCTTTGATGGACATTGCAAAAACTGCCTTACCACCACAATTGCAGTCGCAGTACCATATTCGGTATTATGAGCAACGGCTTAGAGAATATGAGACAGACGAGGGTGCGATGGCCCGGACTACACACGACATGCTATACCTGGGTAACTGAGCGTTTTTTTCCCAACGACTAACTAGAGCCAAGGTTCGAGTCTCAGAGATGCATTTTAGTTGCGCCGGCGCCCCTGTGGCTCGTATAACCTAGTGACTTTATGACGAAGAGGAGACACCCCCTGAAAGAAATGTTCTCTGCCTATTGGAACCTCTCAATATCCCCAATTCTGGATTAAAGTTCACTAGGGATCATGCCGCTCCAATTTCAGTGACGCCGTAACGGCCATCTGTGACCAACAGAATCATCATCAGCCTATTAATGTCCTTACTGCTGGGACAGGCTTTCCCTATGGATGGAATACAGAGATTGGGCCATTACCCACCACGCCGGCCTAGTGCGGATTGGTGGGTGCTAACGACTGCAGATGCAGCCGAAACCAACGGCTTAATGTGCCTTCCAAAGAACGGAGAAGCTCGAGATAGTAATTTTCGGTCACCCATCCACTGCCCGACCACTGCGAAAGTGGCTTAGTTTTAACGATCGCAGCCGAACTTGCTAACCACTTGCGCCATCGAGCTCCACGACCAACAGCATTCACACAGAAAGCAACGCACCGAGTAATGAGTACTGTATTGTTAGAAGCCTGCCGATTGTGCGAATGCTATGCCAAAGATGGTGGCTTCGCAGTTTCTATTGCTATAAAAAAAATTGTGTGTGTCAGCTCCGACACACGACTGGAGTTTACTCCTTAAGTTCGATAGTCTAACCAGACGCAAAAAGAGTTTATTAAGCTTAAAAAAGATTGATACTGTATGAAAGGGTAAATTAACAAATTAATGAAAATAATATACATATATAAATAAACAAACCCAATAACATATAGGTATAGCCGCTTTGCAGTATACCCTATGCACGTGTCCCTATGTGTTGCGCGACATAGGATGAGCACCAAAAACGTAACGAGGTCATTCATCGATAGATTTTACTCCTCACATTTTTCTCATAACGGGCCCCTTATATATGCAAATCGATTCTTAAGGAGTAAACTCCAAAAAATAACACAACAGAATCTCCCAGTGTGCCCCCTTCTCACAACATTTGGCGTCGCGCCGCCGTGCATCCGATCCGGCACACATAATTGTGTAACCGGATCCCGACACCAGCCATCTTAGGGCGCGCGAACCATACACCACATTGTGAGTCCAATACACGCATCCAATTAAAAAACTTCAGCATTCAAAAATGTATGTGTGATGATAGCAACTCTTAGGCACCTTCCGCAATAGACGACCACGACCACGATTGGTCGTAAAGCGGTCACAGTGCTGGTCGTCTCTTTGATTCATTAAAAAGAACTCTGTATCACTCTATGTTAATTTCATTGCAATAAAAACATTGTCGTATTGAGTTGCGGAACGATGCGAAGAGTTTAAATTTTAAGAAAATATAAATAGAATAAATTCCACCCGAACCAGGTAGCAGACGGGACTCGAACCCACACCCTTCGCTATTCGGGCTAACGCACTGACCATTATGCTACCGAGGCCCTGATGACAGGTCGAATTCTTTCTAGCCTTTATAAAGCTGCAAGGCAATCTCATCTCTTCGCATTTTAGATAACACACAATGTCAAATGAATACCTTTACAAGTATTAAACATTTGAAAGAAAAAATAGAAATTACAGTTACAATTTTTATTTTTTAAGTATAATGTATAAGGATTTCTTTTCTAGTAATATTTTCTTTAGATTTAAACATCGAGTAATTACATGTTTAAAAAAATATATAACAATACGAAGAGTGTTCACTCACGAACGATTCGCAAGACGCTGATAATGGCTGGTCGCTGCATGGCCGCATTCACGGTCGTAGATCAAGTGTGCGAGCGCTCGTAGCAAAGTATACGTAAGTTGACTGCAACGATCAGTCGTGCCGGCCTGGTATGCGACCCGTTGATCGTTGCGGCCACTGGTCGTGGTCGTGGCCGTCTATACTTCATACCAGATAACATTAAAAAGAAGTAATAAAATAGTTATAAATTTTATTTTTTAAGCTCGATGTTTGTGGATTACCTACAATTAGAAGAGATGGCACTGCCTTGCAGCTTAATTCTTAAGCGTTTTAAGCGTTTCACGCTAGAAAAAATTCGACACGGCCGTTAGGGCCGCGGTAGCATAATGGTCAGTGCATTCACCAGGATAGCGAAGGGTGTGGGTGTGCCACAGTTACATATTTAGTAATTAATTCTTCTATTTCTTTACATTTTGTGTGCTTTACTGATGGGAATAAATGATTTGTCTACCTATCTAACCCACAATGTCAAATGAATACCTTTACAAGTATTAAACATTTGATAGAAGAAATAGCAATTAAAGTCATAATTTTTATTTTTTAAGCATGTAACTGCTCGATGCTTTAATCTAAAGAAAATATTACTAGAAAAAAGCAGCAGACGGGACTCGACCCCGCACCCATCGCTATCCGGGCGAATGCACTGACCGTTATGCTACCGCGGCCCTGACGGCCGTGTCAAAATCACTTTAGCCTTTCTTAAATTGCAAGGCAGCGCCATCTTCGCATTTTAGGCAACCCACAATGTGCGGATTCGAGTCCCGTCTGCTGCCTAATCCGCATGGTTTTTTTTCTAGTTATATTTTAAATAAAACTAGTTTTTACAGGTTAATGCACGAAACTTTATTTATTTATTGACGTTTCGTAGCCTTTACAGGCTACGTCGTCAGAATCAAACTTTTATTTAATTTGTCGAGCTACCTTCGAAAGACTTTTATTGAGCGTTCGGTTATTTCATTGTTCGATTTTTAAAGTTTTATTGTCTATGTATGAATAAAGATTCTAAATAAAGTTTCGTGCATTAACCCGTAAAAACTAAAAAAAGGTGAACTTTAAAATGAATGCAAAAAGTTAGCATGGACAGAAAATAACTAAACTAAAATAAAACATTCGAGAATCGTCAATGGACACTTGTTTATTGGTTCCATGATCGCGCGCGCTCAGAGCGGCATGGCGGTGAGCTCCCGTATCCAGGGCCGCGCGGCCACCACGTTGCTGTACACGCCGGGGCTGTCCCGCAGCGCGCAGCCCACGCCGAACGACACCAGCCCCACTAACCGCCCGTTCACCACCGCTGGGCCTCCGGAATCACCCTGAGTAATAGATCCAATCTTAATAATCATCATCATCATCAGCCTATTAATGTCCCCACTGCTGGGACACAGGCCTTCCCTATCAATGGAATAGGGAGATTAGGCCATGACCCACTGGTGCTAACGACTGCAGATGCAGCCGGGACCAACGGCTTAACGTGCCTTCCGAAGCACGGAGGAACTCGAGATAGTAAATTTCCAAGGTCACCCATCCAATGACCGACCACTGCGAAAGTTGCTTAACTTCAACGATCGCAGCCGAACGCGCTAACCACTTGCGCTATCGAGCTCCACCCTGAGTAATAGATCCAATCTTAATAATGTGAAACACAAATATTACAGCACCGCGCGACTCACATTATAGGCGATGAGCTACATGATGCAATCCACGACGCTTAACACAGATGTTGATAGAGGAACATAGCTTAGAAAAAATCATCTTGCCATAAGAGGATTAATGACTCTCAACAATGAGGATATCCAGAGCCTTTACCAGAACGAATCCTGGCAGAGGCATTAATGGTTCGGTTCGCGTTAGTTTCAGTTCTCGTTCTAAGAGATTCGGTTATGTGTTTATATAAATGGATGACAAACAAACAGACAGTCTGGTGATAAGTGGTCATCGTTATCTATAAACACTTTGGAAACCAGAGTATAAACTCATTCGTCGCCTATTCTGACACTATTACCTATCTCGTGGAGCTATAGAACTTAACTCACGGACGGGTACACAACACTACCAAAAGGTACTATTATTTTTCTAACGGTTTTGTATAAGGTGGAGGTTATATCTCCAGACAGGTGGTCTTCGTCCGTATAAGTGACTTCAGAATTATCTTAAAAAGTTAGCATGGACAGAAAATAAGTAAACTAAAATAATACATTCGAGAATCGTCAATGGACACTTGTTTATTGGTTCCATGATCGCGTGAGTTCACCACCGCTGGGCCTCCAGAATAACCCTGAGTGATAGATCCAATCTTAATAATGTGAAACACAAATATTACAGCACCGCGCGACTCACATTATTGGCGATGAGGAGGTGACTAAACACCTTACTTATTAATAAACGCAGATTAAGCTTAGATCAGTTACCTCATGTTTTATCTCTGTTTATTAAATGACAAATGGTATTTGAGTGATATCAACAAAATACGGTATAACTAGTGTAAACTTATTCCTCTTTTATTAATAAAATTGTAGTCATTAAGCGCGTTTTATCATCATTAACACGGCGAGGGTTCTTGGGAGCAAAGCTTCCTTAAACCGCCTTACCCTTTCCTTCAGAGGACCACGCGCTGGCCTATATTGTCACCACAGACAAAGATCAAAATATATAATGCAAGTTTAAGTAAATTGCTTGCAAAAAGAGAGACCAATGGGCTGCCTTTTACGATAATTCATTTCTTCGCGTCACTGTTCTCGATCATCAGCCATTTAACATTAAATTGCTGATGATCCAGAACAGTGACCCCAGCAGTAGGGACATCCCCACTGCTGGGGCACAGGCCTTCCCTATGGATAGTATAGGGAGATTGGGCCATGACACACCACGCAGGCCCAGTGCGGATTAGCGGGTGCTAGTGACTGCAGATGACTCCGGAACCAACAGCTTAACGTGCCTTCTGAAGAACGGAGGAACTCGAGATAGAAGATTTTTGGTCACCCATCCAATGACCGACTACTGCGAAAGTTGCTTAACTTCAACTTTCGCAGCCGAACGCGCTAACCACCTACGCCAACGAGCCCCTCACTGTTCTCGATACCGGACGCCAATCGTAATGTTTAAAAAAATATCTCACTAATTATCATTAGTAACCCATTCTTTCTGACCACTTATTTGTTTTTGTGAGTACTAAAAATCAGAAATTTGCAGTAGATGCGGCGTCTACTTCAATATAGCTAGGTTGTTGTGTGCCTATGGCCACTATTCCAACGCGAACAAACTTTGGTGACTCAGTTCTTTGTCGCACAATCCGCTATTGTTTCTATCTACTGATGCACACAATCTTGCGCTAATTAAGGTGACTGGAAAAGGCAATGGCGAACAACCCAGAGGCTTCAGCCTGATTAATTGGTCCAACCAAGATGTACTCCACGTTGAACATCAAGTTGCATGATGCAATCCAGGACGCTAAACACAGATGTTGGTAGAGGAACATAGTTAAGGAAAAATCATCTTGCCATAAGAGGATTTACGACTCTCAACAATGAGGATCTCCAGAACCTTTACCAGAACGAATCCTGGCAGAGGTATTAACGGTTCGGTTCGCATTAGCTTCAGTTCTTGTTCTTAGAGATTCGGTTATGTCATTATAGAAATTTGTGTTGTACTTAGTTTTCACGAAAAAAAAAATTAATAAAAAAAAACAAACAGACAGTCTGGTGATAAGTGGTCATCGTTATCTATAAACATTTTCGAATCCAGAGTGTAGCTCATTCGTCGCATATCCTGTCACTATTACCTATCTCGTGGAACCCTAGAACTTAACACACGGACAGGCATACAACACTACCAAAAGGTACTATTATTTTTCTAAAGGTTTTGTATAAGGTGGAAGTTATTTCCCCAGACAGGTCATCTTCGTCCGTATAAGTGACTTCAGAATTATCTTTGAAGTAATTTTTCAACTTGACGACTTCTTGCGCGATTACTCCCAGTACAAGATCTCCCGCCATAAATTCGCTAACTGGTGGCATAGTTTCTTAATTTTCAAAAGTGCTTGTTTTAGCCAAAACCAAATAAATGATTTTTAATTTAGATTTTATTTACATATGCCAATAAACAGGATTTGTATTCAAACTGTCAGGGATACTTAATTAAACTATAATCAGTATTGTCATGTGCAAAGTTTAAATTTTTCCTACTGTCAGTCTACTGCAGACTTATCGTGGTCCGACTGTGCCTAAAAATGCAGTATAATGATTGTCTGCTACGTCGGAGGGGAGGTCACCATAGGTCTACCACCCATGCAAGGCAAGTTCAGAAATAAATTTATTAAAATTTGACTTATCAAAAAGAACTCTAACATATAGATGGGCTATCCGTTATAAAGTCTGTTGATGATGAATCCCTGGAACTTACTTGACATGCATCCTTGGTCCCGTTGAGGTATCCCGCGCAGAACATCCTGGAAGTGATGCCGTGATAGTTCTTGTTCGGGACGGACTTGCACACTTCGTTGGAAATTATCGGCAGGTCCACTCGACGAAGAATGTCTTGCATTTTGTTCTCCTAAATTAACAATCATTCTATTGTTATCTTATTTTACGTGAGCAATCACCAGGAATTCATTGTTACCTTAATTGACAAGAGATGATTGCCTTTTTCACATCAGCAACTTCGGGATTTTTTCATTATTGTAGCCTTATTTTACAAGAGAATAGATTGCGGCTATGTTATATTCCTCAGGAATTCATTATTACCCTTTTCCACAAGAGTTCAATAAATTGTTATCTAATTTTAAACAAAAAAGCACTCAGGAGGTGATTGCTACCTTCTTTCACATGAGCAAGCATAGAATTTAATATTACCTCGGAATACCTAATATACACGAGTAAAAAACCGAAGTTTACGAACCGTATTTAATATGAGCAGTAAACAAAAAAAATAAGCATTAAAATAAAATAAAAAATTAATCATACATTGACATTTAAAAAATTACCTATGTAAAATGTATTAATGACAGATAATGTAATAATGAATAGATTTCAATCAAATATTATATTGCATGCCGATAAGGCGGACTATGTCCGTACTGTACTAAATTATATCTGGACATCAACTTTGTAACCTGTATTCGCAATAAAGGTGATATGATTTAAGAAAATAATATACTGGCTGACGCTATTTAATAGAAGTTGGGGCATGAGTGAGCTGCTGATAATAAGATAAATTGTAAATTAACTCACTTTGTACTTAGTGTATCCCCAGCCACTGACAGTGACTATGTTACCAGGTGTAAGGTCTTCGTAGGAACCTATTTCAATGGGTCTGGACGCTATTGTCACGGGGACAGCCTTCTCGAGGAGCACTAGCTGGTAGTCGTAGTCGTGGGGGTGAAGCTTGTTGTTGGCATCCCACAAGGGGTGCATGAAGTGTGCGCAGATTCTGTATCTGGTCGCTAGGTGGCGCCGTGTGGAACCTACTAGGACAAAGGTTTCTTTGGCCCTGAAAAAAATATTTAGTAAGCCATTTAACTCCAACTAATATTATTAGCTGTGAAAGTTTGTATGTTTGTTACTCTAAAGTTGAAGTAAATTGAGATGATTATGATGTATGAGAAGCTCGAATGGAAGATTGAGATGTTGGAAGAACAATTGTGCTGTGAATGGAATCACGCAAAAATGGCTGAAAGGATTTGAATGTGGCATACATATAGTTTGTTATCTGGATTGAGACTTTTTATCACTTAGGCATGTTACGTGAACCCTCCATTAGCTCCTATTCAAAAGACTGATGATTTCGAAGCAAACAAAAGTCATGGCCGTTTGTTGAAATTAAAATTGTCGCTGCTCTAAACGGTATGGTAGGAGTACTTCACAAGGTGGAAAGACCCCGGGCCTCCTTATGTTGTTCTGATTTATTATTATTATTCATATTTGCCATTTGTAGACTTGACAGCAGTATATCCTCACCCTGCTCTAAAGAGAATGAAAAGAATAGACTGCTGCGAAATTTAGAAATATCAAATATTCTGAATAAGAAGCGAGGGCATTACGTTATAATCGCATGTGTTCAAAGAAACTATGTTGCAGTATTAACGATCGTTTTCATTGAATGTAATGTCATCATAAATCTCAATACAAATAATAAGATCTTAAATTAAAGATGTAAGTTGTTGTGCTGACTTATTCCATATGAATGATACATGCTCGATGGTGCAAGCGGTTCGGGCATTTGGTCTGTAATTGTGGAAGTTTATCAATTTTCTCAATGTTCGGATGGGTGGAAAATAAATAATTTACTAGGGCGCCTCCCGTACTTCGGAAGGTACGCTAAGCCATTTATCTCTTATCTAATAGACAAGTCCGTCCGTCCGTCCGTGGTGCTGTTTCAGCGGCTAAACCGTAAGAGATAGATATAGAGAATGTTTAAGTTATAAGTTAAGAATAGTCTGATAAGACTACGAACCGGATGTGAGTAACGTAGCACTTCCGGTTATCGAGAAATCACGTGATTTCTATTCCAAACGAAACCACACAAAATCTCCGAAGTTCTCAATTAATTAAATACATTTCTTTTTTTAATTTTTTTTTTTCTGAACATTTGGTTCACTGGTTTGCTAGTATTCATTAATTCATTTTAGGCCGTAACAAGTTCCTATGAATGTTTGGATGCTACTCCATTGGTTCGTAAATCTACAGCCGGAGACCTTGTACTGAGAAAATCTAGCAAGAAACTCGGCAAGAACCGTTTTATCTCATTGTATTGTTATAGTCATGAAGTTGAAATTTATTAGTCATTAATCCCGGCTACATCTTCAGTCGTTAACACCACCAAATCGGCGTACTTGGTCATGGCCCAATCTTCCTATTCTATCCATAGGAAAGACCTTTACCCCCTTTACCGCAGCAGGCGGGCTGATCGTGAGACACAATTTTAAAACAAAACTTGAAGTGTTTCGACCTGCAGTGGGCAGCAATAATAACCCGAGGGGCGATGAGTGCCCCCGCGCAGTTCATCCCATACAGCTCCAGGTACGAAAGAGGTTATATTGAGTTCCGCCTGAAGGAAAGATGACGATTTACACGTCTAACATAGAGTACTTCTCACCTGCAGTGGGCAGCAGTAAGAACCCACTGAGGGGCAATGAGTGCCCCCCCGCAGTACATCCCGTACAGTACTTGGTACGGAAGAGCAAATATTGAGGTCTCCCTGCCACCAACGATACGCCAGCGAATCTGCAGATTGACAAACAGGATGATAATGAGCTGCTAAGTAAAAGGGGCTTTTTTGTACAAAAAAGGTACTAGCAAACCCACGTGACGTAATGAAGCAGTTCTCAAATCGACATGATTTTTATTAGATCACGCTTAACTTTTTACATATAAGTCCCTATTTATTTGATAGGGTGCTTCTCAAAGTTGATCTCAGATAAATAAAATAAAGAACCCGTACCCCCTTATTAATAAACGAAGTGTAAACTTGGCTTAGTTACTCCATGTTTTGTCCCTGTTTATTGAATGACAAATTGCATTTCAGTGATATGAACAACACACAGCAAGGGGGTATAGGAAAACAGAAGATGATTGATTGTGCACTCACTGATTATAATGTATGAGCACCCGTAACATTTTACAGAATAACCTTTTTCAATCACTCTTTTTAAACAATAAAATTAATATATACCTCAAGGTCAGTCTCTGCGAAATTACGATCATTATGATAATCAGCAACTTTATAACAGAAACATATTATATCTCCTCGGTCTCTAGTAAACTACAATTCAGATCTCTCTCAGGGAACACACAAGAAGATATTATGTAAAGTTCAAGAAGTAACAATTCTATATTTACCGCAGTCCTCTTCTCCGCATCATCTTGGAACTCATGATGATACTGAAAGTTTCTGGGCGGCACTCTCCTAGTCACATAGATCTGGTAGTAGTTGGATATGCAGTCGGGTGTTAAAACGCCATAGGTTATGGGTTTATCGCTCTCTGAAATATGATATATCTACATGAGAAACGTTAGAATATTAATATTACAGAACATTTCAAGGAAAGATCTAATCGGATATGAGGTCTTCGGAGTACGATGAGGTTCCCAGTCCCATAGCAAAAGGAAATAGGTGGGAAGTCTTACGACCACGGGCCTGAGTACGATGTGGTTGCATGCAGTCCCATAGCAAAAGGAAATTGGTGAGAAGTTTTACGACCACGGAGCCTGTAAATGTCAGGAATAGTGAAAAAAGTTAATTCCGTCCGAAAAGTGTTTTGGCTAATTATTGCCGGGATAAGCTTTAAGTATGAAGGCCAAAGACCAGACAAAGGAACCCTATTCTCCTACCTGAGGAATTAACCTTTACCTTACAGACGACCACAGTAAAATAACAGTCCCCTGGTGGTGTGTTTCTGTTGGTGAGTAAGGTTCCTGGGCTCCTCAGGGTAGGGGATTCGGCCAGGGTAGGCAACGGTCATCAACGTCTGTAAGCAATGGTGGCGCTTACCATCAGGTGGGCTATACGCTTGTTTGAGAGTTGTTGAGAGCCTTTTAACATTAAATATACTTATATCCTCAAACTGGACAGAGGAAGTTTATAGGGTAATGGAGCGAGACAGATGCAGTCCGCAAATGAAGTGAAATGGAGAGAGAAGAAAACACTCTCGTGGTTATGTATATGCGGTGATAACAATCTACGCTATGACAGACCCAGATGGAGTGCCACACGGAGTCCTCCCGATCGCCATGAAGCACCCGGATGAGCACTACAAAGCACTGCTCGATGAGTGCCTCAACGCAGGAGTGTTCTCCAGCGTGTGGAAGAAAGACAAACTCTGCCTGCTGAGAAAGAGGGGCCGACCCGCAGAACAATCCTTTGGATATCGTCCAATTGTGCTGCTGGACGAGGTTGGCAAATTCTTTGAAAGAATTATTATCATTCGTATCGTCCAGCACCTGGAGGAAGCCTGAGCATTAAGGTATTCCACTGAATAAAAGTTTAGCGTTTTCTAGTACTTCCATAGCCAAAAAACGCCGCCACCGGCATATTTCTTGTAGTTTTCATACATTTTATACGGACTCACCGCACACGGTACGCCGGTGGCTGCCACACGCTACAAATCGTCGTTGCTCTCTTCTTGTGGCCCGCACCGGCCACTTAATGAGCCGATACAAAACGCCGCAACACCATACTCGCTCGATTCCCCACCCCTCTCTCCCTTACCTAAGTCGGCCGCTGTCGCGCGCTTCAGCCACTTTAGTCTAGCTTCTAGCTTCTCATGGCGGCGTTTGTGGCTGTGGCGTGTGGTCCGTGTGCGGCGACACTAAGAATGTATTCTACGTAAATGTCAGTTTTGTTAAGTCCGCCCATTATTGCTTGAACCGTCGAGTTCAAACTTTTCAACTTGTTTTTATTATATGGACGTAATATCGAGGATTTACTTTCTACAAACAAAAACATACTTATCTTCATAATATGTATTATTAATATCGGAAGAACATTACTTATTTATCGTAGCACAGCTGTCGTAAAGCTGACCCTTGTTTTAAAACTGTTAGTATTCCATGCGCCCCAGGCACACTCGTTAACCACTCGAGCTGATATTTATTTAGGACGAACTCCCAATATATTTTATATCGTGTAATATATTGGCATATGTCTGACATACGATTAAGGAGTTACATATAACCTTAAAATCCAAAAGCCGGGCGCCATTGGTGATTGAATAAATTTAACTTTTTATTGTACACCATGAAAAACATTGAACATTAAGCATAAATCTACCAAGCTACAAATTTATTTATTTATTTATTTAAACTTTATTGCCACAATTACAAAATGGACAAAAGGCGGACTTAACGCTAAAAGCATTCTCTGCCAGTCAACCTTTAGGAGTACAGAAAGACACGAATGCGGCTTTAGTAAAGAAGTAATTAACTAATATAAACATACCATAATAGAAACTACTTATCTTATACATAATAACTAAATATTGTAAATATACATGAGCACAAGACATATAAATATATATATATACACACACACATACAATAATATATATATATATACACACACATACATATATATATAATCTATCGATGATGAGACTGTAAGGGACTTATGAAAGGAGTTTAACGTTAGTGTGGAAGGCTATCCAGAAAAAATGCATGAATTTTCTTTTTAAAAATTAACCTATTACGTGACTTTCTAATGGAGTCAGGGAGGCTGTTTCAGAGTCGTGAAGATTGAAGGGCAAAGGAATCAGACATATAGCCAGAGTGAAGGAGAGGTTGGAATAGAGCAAGAGTATCACTAGAACGAAGTTGAAGGTTATGTGTGTCACAAAGATACTGAAATTTGGATCTTAAATAGTCTGGAGAGTGTGGGTTAAAGAGAATTGTATACAGAGTACATAACATTCTCTGCTGTCTTCTTTGACGTATAGGAAGCTACAAATCTACACCATCTAGTACAAATGATGCAATGGGCGGCCTTATCGCTTAAATTGATCTCTTTCAGGCAACCTTTGGATGAAGAGGACTCGAAGGAAGTGGGAGAGATGGCGGTGTCAATCGCTAGTATAATATAATCTATTAGTAAATTTAATTAAATAAGTTGTTATGATTTTATTTACTTTTAAGCATTTAACTGCTAGATGTTTAAATCTAAAGAAAAGTTTACTAGAAAAAAAAATCCACGCGGACCAGGCAGCGGACGGGACTCGAACCCGCATCCTTCGCAATCCGGGCGAATGCACTGACCATTATGCTACCACGGCCCTATTAGCCGCGTCGAAATTTTCCTAGCGTTAAGCTGCAAGGCAGCGCCATCTCTTCGCAATGTAGGTAACCCACAATGTCAAATGTATACTTTTTCTTGTTACTTATACTTTCTCTTAAATAAGTTGTATTGTTGCATAAGTTGGTTTAAAGTACCTTCTCAGTTACACAACTATATTAACTATTGAGTCTTTATCACAACTTATCGAATGATTTCGCTACGTTTTGACTATTTAATAAGTCGTAAAATAAGTTATTTGTGTATTAAAAGCGGCAACGGTGAATATTTCATTGGAAACTGGTCCGTAGAAAATCTATTATGTAGGTATGAAAATGAGGTTTATTATAAAGGTCAACTATGAGGCAGAGGCATTTCTAAAATGTGGCAACCAGGATCAGAGGCGTGATAACCCCGGATTTTGGAGCCCAGAACCCAGGACGACGAGAGGAGAAAGGACCAGTGCTTTGTAAGTAACACCCGATATTTAGGTTTGAGGTACTTACTAGATCTATTGAACACACAAGCTTTTTCACACATACTTGTGTCTTTGCTGGGTTAATCCAATCAAATTTTGTTGGCTCCAATTTGAGACTTGATCCATTAACATCTCAATCTCGGACACAAGTCTGTCTTTACACCCTTCTTCTTCCATCCGATGGATGTTTGACCGGCCAGTGTAAAAAATTTCATTGCTCTCATCCACATAGCAACGAATGCTGTTATTGCGGACAGTATGGGCGACAAAGCTGATCTTTGTTGGAAGTCAGCATTTATGGTTACAGTGTTAGAATAGATTTATTTATTTTCAAAGACATTTAAATTGAAGGATTAATTGGCGACCCAAAACAGGAAATTTGTAACCCGGACTACAAATGAAACCCCGCCCGGGCGCTCCCCGGACGCCCCGTAAACTAGGACAAATCCGGGGAAACCCGGACGGATGGCAGCCCTAGCGTTCACCCATCGACCACCTGACGATTACTGGTTACAACGAGGTCCGTGGCGCACCCGACGTTAGCTAGATGACAACTCGGCTTCCACCTGAGTCTGCTCGTCGGCAAGTAGATGTCGCGCGACCGACGAGGCCAACATCATGAACATATTTTTTTTCTATTTCTTAGTGTCGCTGCACACGGGCCACCGACCATAACCACAAAACGCCGCCACCGGCATATTTCTTAGTTTTCATACATTTTATACGGACTCGCTACACACGGTACGCCGGTGGCCGCCACACGCTACAAATTGTCGTTGCTCGCTTCTTGTGGCCCGCACCGGCCACTTAATACGCCGATACAAAACGCCGCCACACGTCACTCGCGGGATTCCCCACCCCTCTCTCCCTTACCTTAGTCGGCCGCTGTCGCGCGCTTCAGCCACTTTAGTAGCCGCTTCTAGCTTCTCATGGCGGCGTTTGTGGCTGTGGCGTGTGTCCCGTGTGCGGCGACACTTACTTTGATGACAAGGGTTATCAAACCCAACAGTGGTAGGTAAATGTAGGCATTTTCAAGAATGACTTTTTTTATAAAGATACTCGTAGGTCCGACAAATGAGGGAACACGTGAGCGGGCAGAGCATTCCATTTACGGATAGTGCGACAAAGAAATGAGTCACCAAATTTCTTTGTACGCGTTGGAATTGTGACCACAGTTCGACGGTGACAACGTAGGCCAGCGCGCGTGGTCCTCTGAAGGGGAAGGTGGAATAAGAAAGAATTACTCCTCAGAACACTCGCCGTGGTACAGACGATAGACTTTCTATTTGTGCAAATATCATTAGAATCGAATGTAATTGTGCCTTTTACACCGCAAAAAAGACACTGGCGTCCTCTTCTCTATTCTCTATTTGCTGTGCCCTGTTCAGGGTCTACAATAATCAAAGCAATGTACCTACTAAGATCTAAGAAAACCTTGTAGAACGCAATAAACTAATGATTAATGGCTTCTTTATGTCGCGAAAACCTTATAAGGAAATCAAAAAAATCTTCTAGTAATTGCGTCAGCTATCTTCATAGCTTAACATAAGCTGAGATAATTTGCTGCAGTTATTGACGATATATTGATTTTTATTCCTTAAAGGTTGAGAAAGCATATGGCCCGCTTGGTGGCAGGCATTGCCCTTGAACATAACCTAATGGTTACGCTCTGTTATCTAAAATAGTGGAAAACAGGCATATGGTCCACCTATGCCTGCTCTACACGCCAACATTGTAGCAAATGTTATGGCCAAGATATTAGCCAAGAGTTTGTGATGCCATCCACACGTTGGAAGGTAATTCAATATGCTACGGTGTTAGCTAATATGTGGACGAATTCATTAAATTGGATATATAGACGCTAACAGCTCCTGCAATTTATTTATGCAAATCATATCCCTATTATAGTTAATATACTACTAGACACTATAGTTACGACGCGTGAATATAAAATTTTAATCAGGAGCGTGCATGCGTTATATATCTCTATGAGAGCTCTTAGCGAAATAAACACGCGGCCATCGTGTGGACACGACGGCCATAACTCCACCACAGCCCTTTGATCTTTTGATAAAAAACGACAGCATACGGATCTTTCGCCAACCTGTGGGCCATCATTCCAATACATACCAAGTTAAACACAAACCATTGCTCTACACTACTACACTATAGCTAAAAAAATGTCCTTAACTGGTGGTGAAGAGAAAAAATATGGACGATTCAAAAGAATTGTATTTTGCATCCAATTTGAATAAAGTTATTTTAACTTTTGACACGATGGCTATAGGTAATTTATTTATTCATAGAAAACAAACGGCATGTAAAAACAAAGGATAAAACGAAATGATGTAGCATTATTAAGTCTTACACAGTTTTCACAAGTGCGTAAGTAATGGCCAAATCCATTCGCCACAATGTTGGCCAACGTTTAGAACAAGCATGATGGTAAGCAGCCAAGCCTATGGACGCTTGCGGTATGTGCATACCAGAGTATTACATGTACCGTTATCTTTTTTTTTGTGTCTGGAAAATGCCCTACGCATCCTTCAACCACTGGGGGAGCAAGAAGAAGGTATGTGGGACTCCTCCCTGTCTTCTTCAGCCAGCCCTGGAGCTCGCTGATGTGAACAGGGCCCTACCTACGCCGTAAACAGGGTCACTAAAAACCAGACAATACTCCTGCACCGTCACCCGACACGTACTATGAGGACCGCGGTCTCCCTAGTGCGTGCCGAGAGGGCGGGTGTGGTCGCGGAACCCGTCTCCGAATGGCCGCGCACTCGCCAGGTGTTTGTCCGCGGACGGACCCACCCCGATGAAGATGCCCCGGAGCATCAGCATCCATAGAGCTTGTGCAATGTGAGCCTATAACCCCCCCCCCCCTCCCCCCCCCCCCCTCCCCCCCCCAGGACAGACTCGCGGCTCTCGCAGGAGTAAGAGGGAGAGCGTAGTTCTCTCCGTCCCTCTACATGTGTGATGTTACCTGCCCCGACACCTATCCCCTACCTGCGGTTTCCAGATGGTTGAGAATCGTTTAGATTCTCCCGGCATATAATGTGATCTCCCGACTCCCGAAAACTACCTCGTGGAGCCCTGGAATCTTACTTATGGACAGAAACACAACATCACCAAAAGGTTGTGTTATTTCAATACGATTTTCTGCGATGTGTCTTGAAAAACCTCTTACAGTTTTCAATTTATAACTTCTTGAGATTGACGCTGAACTTCCAGCTGGAAATCAGCTTAGCACTACCACATGTCACAGGTAATAATGATATTGACGAACATGATGCGAGTTATATTTTTGGGTTCATCATCACCATCAGCCTATTAATGTCCTCATTACTGGGGCAGAGGCCTTCCCTATGGATGGAATAGGTATATTGGGCTATGACCTACCACGCGGGCCCAGTGCGGATTGACGGGTGCTAACGACTGCAGATGCAGCCAGGGCCAACGTCTTAACGTGCCCTCCGAAGTACGGAGGAACTCGAGGTAGAAGATTTTTGGTCACCCATCCAATGACCGACCACTGCGAAAGTTGCTTAACTACAAAGTCCCGCGGCATCGAGCTCCTCTTATATATTATATTATTTTGGGTATCGCCAGCGTCTTTCTATAGGCTATGGTGTCCCCTTATCATACGCTTGCTTGCATCCCTTTTAACATAAAAAACATACCAGAAATAAATGAATCCACGATTTCAGTGAAACCTATTAACGTCGCGGCCAGCGGCGAAGTTTCATTTCCCCCAAAGCACTGTCCAAAAAGTAAGACGAAGCACAAACAATACACCAACATGCGCGCGACCATCTTGTCACAAGACAAGAGTTTCGCGAACTAGTTTCAACGATTCGGTTCTCGAGTGGAGCCAATCGAATCACACGCACATTATGCAAGGACGAGATTAAACTCTGATAAACAAAAAACACTATGTTGGTATTGTGTTAACAATGTTTTGTGAATTATGATATTAAATATTGAACAATGAGATTGGAATATTCTGTATGGATGATTCGAATTTCGGTGGTTTTTAAGGGTTAACAAATTGTGCCGGATAGCGACCACCGGTACTTGGTTTTCGTATCGTCTATGCTTAGCTACGGAGTTTTGAGACTGAGATTTTGGAAATTTAAATAAAAGGTGTGATATCTTTGAAAGTCTAATAGCGTATAATTTTAAATTCGAAAAATTGCTGTTACATAATTCGAGGAAGAGGGGTTGGGAACAATATTTTGCGACCAATGGCAGCGTCGATTTTTATATCGCGTCATGTAGTACCATAAGGATTGGTGACAGAGCCGAACCTGAACTTGGTGCGTTCCGTCTCGCACAGAAATGCCAAACACACATATATTTTTTAACTGATGGTAAGCGGCCACCATAGCCTCTACCATTGCCTACTCTAACGCAATCCTCTACTCTGTTTAGCCCTGGAACCTGGAACAGAAGACCACCAAAAGGTAGTATAAGGTGGAGGTTGCTTCCCCCCACGGGTACTGAAATTGGAGCGGTCAATCCGCTATGCCTATCAAATATTCAAAATTCAATATCGTTTATTCAGTCTAGGCTGTTACAAGCACTTGTGAATGTCGAAAAGCTACATTGTACTGAGAAGAACCGGCAAAAAATTCAGCAAGGGCTGTTTTTTTCTCCCTGTATTATATACAGAGTTGTCAAATTGAAAAATGACTTCAATATGAGGTAACTCATAAAGTCACTTTCCATTACAAATGGAAATAATATAAAAATTGTGACTATAAAATAAAAAACAATATAAAAAACTGGTTTAACAAGGTTTAGGAATGTTTAGGAAAGCCGTGTCCTACTGTTTAGGCAAAAAAAATGAACGATTAAAGTTTAGTACAACGATTTATAGTACTTACCCAATGAAGCAAGAGCAGACTCATCTCCGCTGGCAGCACCTGTTCACGAGCATGACGCATGAACCAGCCATAGCTTCGCTCAACCATTTTTTAGGGAACGCAACGATCCGCCTCACACGACAATATCCTCTATTTAACTCTCACCTCATAACTATAAAGTGTTAAAACCAAAACTTGATTTCTCCCCCTAAGGCTTTTGACAGTGCCTGGCCGTAGGGAGATCATATGCAGGAGGCCGAATGCAGATGTACCCCGAAATGCTGTAAGTTAATGGATTGCTATTTCTGATGGGCAACTGCACTGTGAACCCGACATTGTGCGTGAACCGAAACCTGGCCAATTTTAAAAGTATCATATTAAGATTCGTTGACAGTCTATCAAACTTCACAGTCGTTAATTATAATAATAAGTAGACAGGTGAAAGTTTTGCTGATTTTTTTTTTTTTTTTTTTTTTTATAGTTAGGTCCGACAAATGACTCCACCCCACCTGATGTTAAGTGAAGGTGAAGACCAGACGTGAAGATAGCTGATACAGTAGTTCTACCTGCCACACCAGCCATCCTCACCCTGCCGGCCTGCATGTTGCTTCTTCACGCCTCTTTTAAAGGATCCCAGGTTGTAAGAGGGAGGGAACACGTGAGCGGGCAGAGCATTCCATTTACGGATAGTGCGACAAAGAAATGAGTCACCAAATTTCTTTGTACGCGTTGGAATTGTGGCCACAGTAAGACGGTGATAACGTAGGCCAGCGTGCGTGGTCCTCTGAAGGAAAGGGGAAGGTGGGATAAGAGAGAATAACTCCTCAGAACACTCGCCGTGGTACAAACGATAGAACGCGCTTAGTGACGCCACGTCACGGCGTAATTGAAGAGGCTCAAGGTGTTTAGTCACCTCCTCATCGCCTATGATGCGGATCGCGCGCCGCTGTAACCTATCCAAAGCATCGAGCAAGTACTTGGCGGAGCCATCCCAGAGGTGCGAGCAATATTCCACGCAGGACCGCACTTGCGTTTTGTACAACAAGCACAGTTGATCGGGCGTGAAAAAACGCCGCACCTTGTTCAGGACTCCGAGTTTGCGTGAAGCTGTTTTGATCACGGTTTCGATGTAGTCCTTTGGATTCAGGTCTGAGCGAACTTCCATACCGAGCATGGAAATGTTGATCTGCAGCGGTAGTGTTGTGCCCTGAAGAGATGGAAGGGGAAGGAATGGCGATGTTTTTGCTGTGAAAGCGCAAGCCTGAGTTTTCTTGGCATTGAAACCAACCAAGCTCCTAGTACCCCATTCGGAAATGTGGTCCAAAGCCTGATTGAGTTCAATGACAAGATTTTCCCGTTTCTCCCTGGTTACTGCCTGCCCAGCCGCTGCTTGTCCGAGATACCCCGCATGCACTGTACTATCGTCTGCATAGCAGTGAATATTCCCAAGAGGAATCAAGTCATTGATATGCAGCAGAAAGAGAGTGGGGGATAGGACGGAGCCCTGGGGAACGCCGGCATTCACTGACATGAACCGCGAACTGCTACCATCCGTAAGGACACGAATTCTACGCTCATGCAGGAAGTCAGCTACCCAAGAACAGAACTGGGCTGGCAGACCGTATGCCGGAAGCTTGGAGAGAAGGCTTTTGTGCCAGACCCTGTCGAACGCCTTGGCAATGTCAAGGCTGATAGCCAACGACTCGCCACGCTTGTCGATAGCCTCACCCCAGATATGAGTTAAGTACGCTAGAAGATCACCCGTCGATCGTTTCGGTCTAAATCCATATTGACGATCATTAATCAGGGAGTGATCCTAGGTAGCGGGTCAGATGGTTATTAAGGACCTTTTCTAGAACTTTACATAAAACTGAGGTGACTGCTATTGGCCGATAGTTTGCCGGGTCTGAGCGATCCCCTTTTTTGGGCACCGGTTGCACGTTAGCATCTCTCCAAGTCTCCGGCACACGCCCCAAAGAATACGAGCATTGGTACAAGCGCGTGAGCACGGGAGACAACTCCGCTGCACATTTTTTAAGTACTACTGCTGGGATGCCATCAGGTCCACTAGCTTTCCGGACGTCGAGTGATTGCAGTTCAGCACGAACCTCACGCTGCCTGATTTTAATATCAGGCATCGTTGTGCCACAGTGAGGTAATGATGGTGGCAGTGCATTGCAATCATCGATTCGGGAGTTAGCCGCAAAGAGTTTTGCCAGTAAATCGGCTTTCTCCTGCGGCTTATGAGCTAGTGTTCTGTCTGGGCATCTCAGAGGTGGCAGCGAGGGCTGGCAGAAGTTTTTTTGCACGGCCTTGGCCAAACGCCAGTAGCTACGGGAGCCCGCAGGATGCGTTATAAGTTCCTGGCCAACACGTGCAACACGCTGGGCATCCGCTCTGATGTAAGCCTTCTTACAGGCCTTGGAAGCAAAATTGTAGGCTGCTTTGAGTGAATCGACCCCGGGATCCTTGAGAGCGCGGCCTCTGATCCAAGCACGATATGCCGCTTGCTTACGCGAAGCAGCTTCAGCACAGTCGTGATTGAACCAGAGGTCACGTGTGCCCTTACTGATGAGATCAGAATGAGGAATATAGTATTCCATACCCATTATGATCTCCTCAGTAATGGCAACGGCACTGCCCGATAGGTCCCTGTCACTGAAGCAGCGCTGCTTCCAAGGGACGGACGCAAAGTAATCACGCATACCGTCCCAATCTGCCGACCCATAATGCCAGATACGGCGCTTGACCACTGCTGAACGCGGAGGCTTGGCCTGTGGTGCTTTGTCAGATATCAGGCAGTGGTCGGACGAGCCCAGGGGGGCTCTTACCACAACCTGATAGCCCTGTGGATGGGTCGTGAGCAGAAGATCCAGTAAAGAAGGCGCTTGACTTGGAATATCTGGGATCCTGGTGGGCTGATCAACCAGTTGCTTCAAGTCATGCGTGAGAGCGAATGTGTGAGCAGAGATCCCTGCATGGTCAGTTTTGGAAGAACTTAACCACAAATTGTGGTGAGCATTAAAGTCCCCCCAAAACACCAATTCTGCATTGGGAAATCGCTCCTGCGCGTCATCTGCTGCCCGACTAAGGTGTTCAAAAAGTCGAGTTGTCTCAACATCGCCGGTGTGGGATCTGTAGAGGCACACGTAGACTCTGGCCCCCGGGCCAGAGTCGACGTGTACCCCCAGCATGGAGAAGGAGGGATCTTCCAAGCAGCGGAGACGGCGACAACAAACATCCGCCCGAACATACAGGCATACACCGGCTTTCGCTTTGAAGGACTCTTCAAGCACGTAGCCGGGATAATTAAGGTAGCCTGTGTCAGCAGGCGGAAGTATTTGTGTCTCCGTCAGGAACAACAATGCTGGCCGTGCTGTCTCGAGATGGTGGTGGACAGCGTTGAGGTTAGAGTGGAGTCCGCGTATGTTGCAGAACTCGACCTCAAACAGCGTTGAAGGCGTGGGGGTGTGCACCGCTGTACGTCCAAACTTTGTTATTGAGGCTGCCATGGTGGAAGTGAAAAAAAAAAGAGACGCGAAAACGAGCGGACGCCGTCGCGAAGAGTCCGGGCAAATAAGGGGGGTTTGTCTTCCCGATTGACTGCCTGCAGTGGAGATGCGCCGAGCCGCCGGACGGAAGGGCACGCCCCGGTCACCAACCGGCACGACGGTCCACCCCGAGATTATGCGTGACATGATGGGGCAGCCTCGCGAACTGGTTAGAACCGCTTGGGCCCCTGTACTGTGCCACGGGCGGCCAGCGGGACAGCCGTTTCTACGGGTCTCCCTGGCCGACGGGTCGATGCATTCCTCCCGGCATCGGTTCCACGGATGCCTCCCCTGGACCGAATCCTTCGCGACAACTTCCACTCGAGCTCTGGTTGTACGCTGGCTGACCCCGAAACGCGCGAGAAGCACTTCACGGGTTTTTCACCATGCGCACGGTGGTAACAAACCAGGCGGGTGTTAGGCACCCTACCACCAGAAGAGCGGATGGAAGTTCCGACATC